GTGCAGTGAGGGGTGGGCGGGGCGGGACCCTGGGCTGTACCGCTGACCCGCCCCTCCCCGGTGCTCCCAGGCAGGGACGCTGGGCTGGGAGATGGGCCCAGACTACACAGCCTCCTCTGGGACGTCCCCCGCCCTTTCCTGGCCCAGGAAGCCATGCTTTGCCCCGGCCTTGTCATTATCGCGGGACTGGGACCGTGTCCCCACACCGTGTGCTACGCCAGGCAGGGAAGTTTGAGGCCCCAGGTCGTCCCCTGGGGTGCCCTGCCTCTGCCTTTGCTCCCGAGGCCTGGGGAGTATCTGAACCCCTCTGGCTGCCTCAGAGACACGCTAAGCCCTTTATTTATTTATTTATTTTTATTATTCAGAGAGGAAGGGAGAGGGAGAGAGAGAGAAACATCAATGATGGGAATCATTGATCGGCTGCCTCCTGCATGCCCCCTACTGAGGATGGAGCCCGAAACCTGGGCATGTGCCCTTGACGGGAATCGAACCCGGGACCCTTCAGTCTGCAGGCTGATGCTCTATCCGCTGAGCAAAACTGGCTAGGGCTATTTATTCTTTTCAAATATGTTTTTATTCATTTTTAGAGAGAGAGGAAGGGGGAGGGATAGAGAGAGAGAAACATCATCGTTGGCTGCCTCCTGCACGCCCCCCACTGGGCATGTGCCTGACCGGGAATCCAACCGGTGACCTGGTTCCTGGTCAGTGTTCAGCCCTGAGCCCCCGGCCGGGCCTGAGAGATGCTGAGCTGCTTCAATTAAACCAAACGCACCCCGTAAGTGGGCGCATCGGGTGGGCCCGGCTTACTCCCCACTTCAGGGTGAGGGACCAGGTGAGCTGCGCATGTGTTCGCACACGCCCGCTGCCCCCATGGCCCAGCCCTCCCTCCGCGCCCCGACCTCCCCTCCGAGCCGGAGCCGGGCGATTTCTCTGTGGCGCCTCTCGGCTCCGGCTGGTTCTGCGTGAGCCTCGCAGGACCGTCTCTGTCCCGTCGCCGCATGGGCAGGCGTGGCCTCCGCATACGGTCCCCACGGTACCCTCTCTCCTCGCAGACTCAGCGGCCTGTCCCCGTTCCTGGGGGAAACCGACGCCGAGACCATGAACTTCATCGTGAACTGCTGCTGGGACTTCGAGGCGGACACCTTCGAAGGGCTGTCGGAGGATGCCAAGGACTTCGTGTCCCAGCTGCTGGTCAAAGAGAAGAGGTACCTTGATTGCGAGTCACGCGTGCTTAAGGCCTTCTGACCTGACAGCACCCGCTAACCGCCGGCCTTGGTTCCGCAGCTGCAGGATGAGCGCCACCCAGTGCCTGAAACACGCGTGGCTGAGCAATCTGCCTGCCAAGGCGACCCGGTCCCAAGTGCGGCTCCGGTCCCAGCTGCTGCTGCAGAAGTACCTGGCGCAGCGGAAGTGGAAGGTGCCTCTCCTCTCCATCTCTTTCTTTCTTTCTTTTTTTAAAAAAAATATTTTTATTGATTTCAGAGAGAAAGGGAGAGAGGATAGAAACATCAATGATGAGAGAGAATCATTGATCGCTGCCTCCTGCACGCCCCACACTAGGGTTGGAGCCCACAGTCGGGCATGTGCTCTGACCAGGAATGGAACTGTGACCTCCTGGTTCATAGGTCGATGCTCAACCAGTGAGCCACGCCGGTCGGGCTCCGTGTCCAAATTGATTCAAAATAGAAAGATTGTTTAACGAAAACAACAACAACAACCCTCTTATGTCCAAACTGTTCGTTTCGGTGAAGAAATGCCACAGACGCCAGTGACGGGCGTAGAGGTGGCATTTAGTCCGTGTTACGTGGACACTGGAGGTGACAGGATGAGGCCGGAGCACAGTGCTCAGGGACCACGGCAGCTGGGGCCCCAGGTTCCTCCACGTGTCACATGGGGGCGGGAAAGCTCCGCTTCAGAGCTTGGTGGTTTGTTTACAGCAGAGCTTTGGTACCAGGGACGTAAAGTCTGTCTTAGAAACCTCTGCTGTGCAGGAAAGTGTATTTCCAACAGTTTGATACCAACTCAGAGCCTTGTTAAACACACACACACACACACACACACACACACACACACAGCCCGGCCAGCGTGGCTCAGGGGTTGAACGTCGACCTATGAACCAGGAGGTCATGGTGCGATTCCCGGTCAGGGCACAGGCCTGGGTTGTGGGCACATCCCCAGCTCGGGGCATGCAGGAGGCAGCTGATCAATGATTCTCATCATTGATGTTTCTCTCTCTCTCTTTCCCTCTCCCTTCCTCTCTGAAATCAATAAAAATATCATAAAAAGCAAAACAAAAAACAAATAAAACCAGAAAGAAAGCACGTTAGCCGGAGTAGGAGCGACAGTCACGTACTCACACCCGAAACGAGAGATCACGTCTGCTTCCCAGACTGATGTGCTCTGGTATTTCCTGTGACGTTTGCTTTCACTCCAAAAGTTCTGGTCCGAAACCCGATTTGATTTCGTGACCCCCGGTGGGCTCTGTTTTGGGGATAACACGTGATCTCACGTCCTCCTGGCTCCAATTGGCCCCTGGAAGTCATGTGACCGTTCGACTGGACATTTGCTAGAATCTCGTTTTCCCCTTTGGGTGATCAGTTGTAAAGAACCCGAGTCCCTCACTTGCGTTATGTCCTTTTATTGTTCTCCTTAAAACAATGCATCTAAAGCTCTGCTTCTTTCCTCTTCTCTCTCTCCTGGTCTCAAGAAACATTTCCACGCGGTGACTGCGGCCAACAGGTTAAGGAAATTTCCCACTTGCCCCTGACCCTGGACTGGACGCCACCGCCCCTGGGCCGAGCCGTTCCGGAGGCCGCGGGGATGCCCGGAGGCTGTAGATGACCGGCCTCTGGCTCAGACCGATTCCAGGAACTTTGTGAGGGGTTCTGGCCGGGCCTTCCCTGGGGGTGACACGTGGCTGGAAGAAGGCGACGTCAGGACTGTTTCGCTGCCGTGGGAGCCCGCTGGTGTGAAAAGCTGTTTCCTCGTCAGGGGCACCGGCTTTGGGGGGCGCGTGTGGGGAGGAGAGCAGGTGGCGGGTGGGATGCGGAGCGCGCTCTGATTCAGGGACTCGCTCAGGGACCCGGGCCGTGGATCGCCTTGGGCACAGGGAAGTCCTGCTGCTCCGATCCCCGGGGCTGGGCCAGGCTGTATTTATTGTCCCACCGACCCGCGCTGTGTGCCGCCTAGAGTCTAACATGGTTTGACTTGTGCTCCCTTTTGAGAATGGAAACGTGCATCCTTTGTTAGTCTTTGAAATTTTGAAATATACTGACCGTCATGGCTGAAAGAGGACAAGGGTCAACTGGAATGCGCTTAATGTTTTTATTGATTTTAGAGAGAGAAGAAGGAAGTGGAATAGAGAGAGAGTAACATCAATTGGCTGGCCCTAGTCGGTTTGGCTCAGTGGATAGAGCGTCAGCCCTTGGACTGAGGGTCCCGGGTTCGATTCCGGTCAAGGGCATGTACCTTGGTTGCAAGTTCAGTCCCAACCCTGGTCGGGCCGCATGCAGGAGGCAACCAATAGATGTGTTTTTCTCACCTCGATGTTTCTCTGTCTCTCTCTCTCTCTCACTTCCACTCTCTCTAAATATCAGTGGAAAAATATCCTCAGGTGAGGACTAACAATAAAATAAAATAATAATAAAAAGAAACGTCAGTTGGCTGCCTCCTGCATGCCCCCTACAGGGGATTGAGCCCACAGCCCGGGCATGTGTTTTGACCTCTGGGTTCATGGGTCGATGGTCAGTCACGGAGCCACAGGGGTGGGTTAGAATGTGCTTTTAAAGTCTCTACCCACCTCTCCCTCTTCTATTCTGCCCTGTGCTGACCTCTGCTGTCTCCCTCCTGACACCCACCCCTCAGATATGAATCGGAGTCCAGGAAACTGGTGAGTGTGTGGGAGAGGAGAGTGCAGCCGCCTTCCGCTGTGGAGAGAAGCGAAGGCACACGTTTAACCGACTTATGGAATGACAAACAGGAGACGCTGTTAGTCAAAAGCAAAGTCCTTTGCCCTCCTCACTTCTAACCTGCTTCGTGCTGTTCCCACGACCTCTCGGGTCGGCGGTTCCGGTTGGAGGCGTTGCTGTGAGTTGTTAAGTGTCACAGCCTTTGAGGGTTTTTGTCCGGATAGACTTGTTTCTGGCAGAAGACCTGGGCGTGGGGAGGGGCCTGGTCTGGCCGGGAACTACGGTTCCCAAGGCCAGCATGTCCAGGCCTGCTGCCCGCTGGCCACGGGGTGACCGTCGGAAGAGGAGACCTGCCTTGCATGACGCAGGAACAGGGACTCACCTGGTCAGGTGCTGGCTTTTCAAGCAGCAGTCACCTCTCTGAGAGATGTTGTTTCGAGGGCAGCCTGCAGAGGGCGCCCTAGAGCACACCTTTCAGTGCTAGTGGGTCTGTGGTCCTCAGCCCCTGGGCTGTCGGCTTCTTGGCGATGGTCCCAACCTTGTCCCCAGAACAACGCAGTGAGTTCCCTGGATCTACAGCAGCAAAGTCTCCCAGAAGTTTGACACGAGCCACACTTAACGGAGACATTTCTCACAGCTCCTTTCTTTTTTTTTATTTTTTGAATTTTTTTTATTTTATATATTTTTTTTATTAGTTAAGGTATTACAAATGTGTCCTCATCCCCCCATTAACCCCCAACCTCCCCCCAGCCCCGCACACTCATGCTCCCATCCCCCTGTTGTCCATGTCCATTGGTTTGGCTTATATACATGTATACAAGTCCTTCGGTTGATCTCTTCCCCTTACCCCCTCCCTCCCCTACTTTCCTTCTGGGGATTGATAGCCTGATCGCTGTTTCTCAGTCTTTGGATCTGCCCCTTCTCATCAGTCTATGTTGTTCTCTATAATCCACAAATGAGCGAGATCATGTGGTACTGGCACAAGAACAGACATATAGATCAATGGAATAGAATAGAGATCTCACAGCTCCTTTCAAAGGGAAAACCCGGTGAAAGGAATTTCAGTGACTTACTGAACACAACACATCGAAAGTGTTACTTCGGTATGTGGTCAACAGAAACACGATTGCTGAGGTCCTTCAGATTATTTTTTTCCTAAGTCTCCACAATGCGGTGTAGGGGTCACACTGAAGCACATTTCCGTTCCGGGCTGGGTTTCCATCAACCTACCGAATGTGTGTTTAGATTTCATAAAACTCACTGTGACATTTAATTAAAATGAAATTAGGAATTTTCTGTAGTTGTATTAGCTAAATCTAAGTGCTCAATAGCCACGTGTGGTTAGCGGCTTCTGTATCGGACAGGGCAAACAGAGACTCTTTTATCTACCAAATTTTATTTTTCTTCCATATGCTGTTATTTTTTTAAAAATATATTTTTTATTGATTTGAGAGAGGGAGAGGGATACAGATAAACATCAATCTGCTGCCTCCTGCACGCCCCCTAGTGGGGATCAAGCCTGCAGCCCAGGCATGTGATGTGCTCTGACCAGGAATCAACCCTGTGACCTCTGGGTTCATGGGTCGACGCTCAGCCACTGAGCCCAGGGGCTGGGCTGCTGTTATTTTTAACCGAAACAATTCCTCTCCAGAGTCCCCTGGAAGCTCACACCCGTGAGAGGGACTATGGATTTTCCCCTCCCTTATCTGATGTTCTAAAGCCTTTATGAACCTTTCATTTTCCTGGATTATTTTTAGTTCTCTACTTGGTTGGTGTGTGTACTTAGCTGAAGAATGCCTGCCCTAGCGGGGGCATCTGGACAAGGTTGCTTTGAGGCAAATTTAAGAAGTAACCAAGTACCTACTGCGATCCACATAATCAAAATAATTACCACCATGTACTACAAATTTATTGATTTCAGAGAAGGGAGAGGGAGAGATAGAAACATCAATGAAGAGAATCATTTATCTGCCCTAGCAGGTTTGGCTCAGTGGATAGAGTGTCCACCTGGGACTGAAGGGTCCTGGGTTTGATATTGGTCAGGGCACATGCCTGGGTTGCGCGCTCGATCCCCAGAAGGGGGCGTGCAGGAGGCAGCCGATCAATGATTCTCTCTCATCACTGATGTTTCTACTAGTATTTCTCTCGCCCCCCTCTCCCTTCCTCTCTGAAATCAATATGTTTGAAAAAGAAAAAAAGAATAATTTATCGGCTGCCTCCTGTACTGGGCATCAAACCCACAACCCGAGAATGTGCCCTGACCGGGAATCAAACTGTGACCTCCTGGTTCATAGGTCGCCACTCAATCACTGAGTCACACCAGCCAGACCTCTGGGTCTTAATTGTAGTTAAAATCATGTCTGATTTTATGTGTGATAACTGAGAGCCCATAGCAACCAACCTATCTTCATAAAGGCCCTTACCCTGTGGTTTAAAGTAGAACCTAATGAAGTTATGATTTTCAGTGTGTGGATAACAAAGGAAACAAACCATGTCCATTTGACTTTTTAGTGGTGGGAGTGTGTATGCATTGTGGGAGAGCGCTGTGCTTCTCTGTTGTGATATTTACTGAACACTCCCTCACAGCAGGCCCTGTGCTAAGTGCTTTCCGCTCCTCCACGTGAGCAGACGAGCGTGCTCACGGTTCCACGGGGAGCGGCGGAGGCGGGCGGGGCCCAGGCAGCCTGACGCCGGAGTCGGCTCAGCGTCCCGCCTCCCGGGCTTCTTTCCCGCCACAGGGCACAGCAAGGGGCCCCCCACTGATGATAAAGGCAACGTGAATACACATAAAAATAGTGTTTATTAACTTAGGCTGCACCTAGATGGATCTAGTCAATCCAAGAAACTAGACAAAAACTTAAGTAAAACCTGTAACTCCATCGGCCTGAATATTACAGGCCGGAGAGGAGACTTGGAGTGAGGCGGCTCCAGTTCCACATGCAGGATGAGGCCGGGGGCCCAGGCTGTGCCAACCGTGGCTGTGGCTGATCTGGTGAACGTTGCCCACGCCAGGGGCCAGCCTGCTGCCCGGAACAGCCCAGGCTGGTGCCCTGCCGCTACGGCGCGGTCCGAGGGTCCTGTCCTAAACTCAGAAGCAGCACCCCGGGCACTGGCACCTTTGCTGGCGCAGGCATGCGGCACTCACTCCGCCCCAGCCTCCTGTGCTCTGGCAGCGTTTTCCAGAATCTTCCTTTTCCACTCTTCGTAATCCAGTGCCGGGTCTTCACTGCTTTGTGGTTTAGGTGGGACCTCTTCCACCTTCTCTCTTTCTGCGAGAGAAAATTTCCAAAGCGTTTCGAAGTCTTACGTTTACAAATGACCTCAGAAGAAAGTAAGCTTCTTTCAGGTGTCCACTGTTAGGGTCACAGGGAACGTGACCCTGACTGGAACGCCAAGTGGAGGCAGCAGCTCACACACCGGATTTTTGCTCCAAGCGTCCCCGACACCCTGCCACGCACTCACCTTGTGCCTGACAGGCACCGAAGCCGCACCACCTCCTTCAACCCTCAGGGCAATGCTAGGAGTGAGTGCTGATACTAAGGACCTTCATCGCTTTGGAAATTAAGTGACGTCCCTAAACCACAGCCAGGCGGCGGCAAGGCCGGATTGGAGGCCACGCTGTCCGGCGGCAGCTGTGCCCTCACGGACCCGATGCCCGTTAGGTGTGTAACCGAGCAGCGGGGTGCTCGCCACAGTAAACCCCGTCCGTCCGTCGGAGTTAGCGCCTTACCCGTTCCCGGAGCTCCATCCTCCGTCTTCCGTCTCTTCTGGGGCGGGGAGCCGGCATCTCGAGGCTGTCCTTCAAGAAAGAAGTGTCGTCAGGCTAACTTTCTCCTATTCTCAACGTCAGTATTTGGGCATATTAAAAATTTAATGTTTTTATTGATTTCAGAGAGGAAGGAAGTGGGGGAGAGGGAAACATCTACGAGAGAGAATCATGGATTGGCTGCCCCCTACTGGGGATGGAGCCCGCAACCCAGGCATGTGCCGTGACCGGGAATCGAACCAGCGACCTCCTGGTTCATAGGTCGATGCTCAACCACGGAGCCACACTGGCCAGGTTTGGGGCAATTTTTGGATGACAAATAAAACCCAGATTCCTCGCCTGATCAACTTCTAGGAGTAGGGAGGAGGCAGCGAGCTTGCCCTGGTCTCTTCTCGGGCTTCTCGCCAGACCTGCGAACCCCTGCTCTTCAAGCTCCAGTGTGCGGGCCGGCCTCCAACATGAAGCACGTGCAGAGACTCCACTTGCAGGTGGACTCGGAGAGTCACAGGCTTTTGAAGTTACTGAGCTACTTTAACTGAACAACAGAATAAAACAACTTCCTCGCTGAAACGGGTCTGGAGCAGATTAATGCAGAATTCAGAGAGCAGCCGCTTCGCAAGGTTGAAAACCCTGGGCTTTGGCCGCAGGTTTACGTTCCCACACGACACG